ATGCTAAGTATACGAATCCTATAACTACAAAAATATAAAATCTTACACTACTTGACTTTACATGGTATAACATACATGTAGAGTTCCTTAGGTCCTTAGAGGGTCCCTCTTTGAGTGGTTTGAGAGGGTGCAAAACATAAACGGGATTCTCATGGGATTTTGTTTAAAAAGTTTGTTACACAGCTCTGTCCTTCTTTGCTCTGAGCGACAATGCATGGACATGACAGGCCATCTGAGTAGAGCACTTCATGACCAGATTATCATCAGAGCATGTTACTGTTTCCATTCAAAAGTTAAGCTTCAATATTGTGGCAGTCTGAAAAGAAAAACCTGGCAGCCAAAGAATAAAACAAACTTGATGCAGGCTACATATAACTGGACCAGTTCTTCAGGTGGTATCTTTGCATGCTTTAGTTGCACTAAAAAGAACAACGTTTGGCTTTTTTTTTTGTGTTTTCTGATAAAGGTAATAGAGCTCTTATGTAAAAAAGAGAAACATTTCCATTGTAAAAGGGATAAAGAAAAACTGAAGTAAAATGTACCCATCATCAGTATTGGAGTTAAGGACTTCAGTCTCTACCCTTGTAGAATCAGACACTATGTAGAATCTGTGCAAATGCTATGTCACAAAGCTATGCAAAACCTATGTTAATCACTCATACATTGCTTTAACCAGATCCTATGTTGTTTCTATGCCAGGACTATGTTTTTTGTATCGAAAATGCTATGTTTTCGCTAGTCAAACGGAACCTACTTAAAAGCTATGCAGTTTTTAAAGGTAGGAATAAAGGAAGAAATGACATAGTTTCCACATACCCTATACATACAGTTTACTTAGCTTGTGGAAAGAGATTTTAGACTTCATAGTGAACCTCATAGAAAAATCATAGAAAATAAATAGCCTTCACATAGGACTGAAATAGAGTTTACATAGTAAAATGGAACAGGGAACAGTTGATTAAATAGCTTTTGAATAGGGTTTGCTTAGAATTTAGATAGCCTAGAAGTAGAAAAGACATATGAAAAACATAGCCTTTTTAAAGGTGACATATACTTTGCATAGCATTAAAATAGGGAAAACACAGAACAAAATAGTCTTTGCATAGGTTTGAAATAGGATTTTAATAGTATTTGAATAGGTAAAACATATCACATACACAAGCTTTAACCAGGGTTCAAACAGAAATTACATAGAATTGACATAGTCTCTTATGTATGTAGGTTTCGATCTGCTTAAGCAAATGTAGTGTTTAAAATACGTTCGTAAAAATCACCAAAATAGTAAAAATAGTATAAAAATATGAATTAGAATACCTTTTACATTGGTAAGAAATAGGTTTTGAAACGAAAAATTGAAAAACTATGGCAATATAATACCACGAACACTAATAGTAACACAAATGCAGTATTTTCATGAAGGTTTCAGAATCGAAACCCCAAGTTTAAGTTTGCTTATCGTGTAGACTTTTTGCTGATGTCGTGCTCTTCAGTGCCATACAGTTTCCTTTTGACTGCAACGAATAAGTATCTGCAAACAGAAAAGTGGAGATTTTAAGGCAAATGAACATAAAAACAACCTGACGTTTTAGAATTGAAACGAAGGAGTATCAAAGCGTGATCGACCGATCCTTGTTCAGATACGCGAAAAGGGGAGACAACACAGGCAAATCGAAACTTAATTGAGAAAAACATCACTTACCAACGTTAGGAATACTTTTTGTTGAACCTGGCAGGAAAAAGACTGTAAATTGAAGTAAAAAGAAGCGTCTTCTTGTAAAAACGCACGCTTACAGCTCGTCTTCTATGACTTAAAAGCGCCCGCGTGGAAACAGACAATTTTCACACCTTTTCATTGGTTGAAAAGGCCCACGTGACCATAAAACGCAAAACACGCATGTGTTGAACTCACGGGCTTCCCTGGGAACTAGTGGAAACAAAATGGCTGACAAACATCCACCACTAGCAGCTAAATACAGGAATTGCACCGACCTGTGATTGGAAGATAAAAATAGTATGTCAGTGGCGATGACGTGACGTTAGCCGTTTCAAGAGTAATGGTTTTTACACGAAAAAGACAGTCCACAGGAAAATACGATATAATATTAAATATTTCTCAAAGACAAACAGTGCAGTATTCTTTTGAAGTCGGCTGACTCGCTAAGAGTCAATGTCTTATAGAAGTTGAAGTTCAACTGTCGCAAATCGGATAACTTCACTGAGTGATTCTGAGATAAAACCTTTTGTCTGCATCCACATTGATCTTAGATTTTACCACTTACATATTGAAGAAAAGCCATAAACAGAGCTTCAATGTCCACGTACACCCGACTGAACGACTGAACGACTGAACCTCGGTGCGATTCCTGCAGATACCGCTGTTCATACTAAATGCAGGAATTGCACCGGAAGCGTGCTCGTCCCCAGCGTCACTCTAGGTTGTAACAAAAGAGCACGTGACCGAGAAAGACGGGCTCTGGGAACGAGAATACACCGGACGCTCATTGGTCGAATGCGCAACTTGGCATAAATGAAATAGCCGCGGGAAACTTTAGTTGATTTTCTCCCGCGTTTTGATTTTCGCTTGATAGGACAAGACTTAGGCCACTGGAAATAGCACATCACTTGTATTCGAAGTTAAATTATACTGAAGCACGGGTTATAGGATTCTGACTATACTAAAGGTCATCTAAACCTCGGGCTGATTGTTCTTTGCCTTTTTTTCTTTTACTGCTTGACTTTACAAGTGTAACATGCTCTCCTTGGTGAGTATATCGAATCCGAAAAATACCTCAGCAATGTAAAAATAATGGTCACCTAAACAGCCTGGTTAAATCCCATCATGTCCTTTGCAAGAAACAAAAATCCCCTTTTCAGCAAACCGAATAATCATTGCGTTTTCGCAGAAAAAAATCTGTGAAGAAACTAAAGACGAGTCAATGCTTGTTTTAAGCTAATAGAGTTACATGTCACGTTTACTCGCAAAATTTAGGGAAAAGGCGGTCCACCTGTAAGAGTTTGCTGAAATTAGCTCTTGTATTTACACTTTGTGTACCTGTGGATAACATTTCTACATTGATTTATATTTTTTATTCATTTTGGGGGGGGGGGGTGGAGGGAGTTGGGGGCAGTCAATGACTAAACACTCATCTGAATGAATCTGAACTCTATTCCATGCAGGCTGGTGACTGGCAAAAGTGCAGTAAGCAAGTAACCTCTTCTGCCCTTATCACCCATACCAGGAGAGAGGCCTTTGAATTCAAGTTACCCCCTACAAAATCCCCTCGAAATGCTGATGGTGATGTTGTTGTGTCAGATTCTCCAAGAATTACAACAAACCCCTTTTCATTGAAAACAATACCACCGTTTAGTCTGTTAACAACATGGGATAAGCAGCTAAGCTTCTGGCAGAAAGAAGAGAAGGGTTACTATTATCTGCAGCATGGCTCCCAATGTTTCAGCATATCTGATATTAAAGATATGTTAAAAGTACATTATGCAAGGGATCTACAAAGGGCCGTCCAAGCCGAATTAAACTGGTTTTCAGAACCATACATTAAACCACTGACTGTCCAAATGTATCCTCCAGAAAGTTCCATAAAGAAATTTCAGGAAATTCTATACTTGAATCCTTTTGATGATATTATTCCAAACTATGACATGACACCAAATGAAGTGGCTTCTCTCTGTGTCACACGATGGGTTTTAAGTGACCTTCTTATGTGGATGGCTAAAACATTAAACAAAGAACAGTCAGATTTTTATTGCTGTGTCATAAATTCAGTGAATGACGTGGAACGTTTAGCAACAAGAAAGTTGCAATCAAAACACCTGAAGGGCTTTTTCTTTTTTGTGAATGTTTCAAAAAGTGGTGGCAAGACAGTCCTTGGGACAGATGTTATAAGGGGGACCCACTGGACAATATGTCATGTCAGTGAAGAGAGCAAGATGATAATCTATGGCGACACTCTTGGTTGGCATCTCCCAGAGGGGTTGTTGGAGAAAGTCAATCGTTTCACAACAACAGTCTTCAAGGCTGATGTGGCAAGTTTACAATTGGTGATTTGTCACAACCCTGAGTACACCATGAAAGGCCGCCATGTTTGTGGAAATTTGTGTACTCCTTACCCCCTCCAAACATGTGCAAGTGTTTGTGGTGTGATTTCGATGGTGGTGGCTGCTGTGGCGATACACAAGCCAGATATTTTCCTGCAAATGATTTCAAGGTAAAAATTAAGTAAAAGGGCTAGGAATATCTTCCCTGTAAGATGTATTACCCTCTGAAAAGTTGAAATTGGGCCATATTTTCTTCAGGTAGTTCAATGGACCAGTCAATTTGACACCTAGCTCATCTGCCTATTCGTTTACAGCAAAGTTTAGCTCTTTATAAATGTCATACCCTGGGCCATAAATCAAAATTATATCAAAATTCCCCAGATCGAGATCTTTTATACAATGTTATAAATTTAAATAATTTGACAAAAATTTGAGTTAGTCTAACAAGCCTCCTCAAATAATATATTTTTTATTGAAAGCTGCACATAGCTTTTGCATGGTCTTGTTCTAGCCTAATTTACATTTAAGTGACTTTCACCTGTCAATATATTTTTCATCACATAAATCTACATTAAATTAGAAAGTATTAATCATATCAATCTACCTTTTCTTGATGTAACACGCTTAAAAATTAATACTTTTTTATGTCTTGTAAGGACTGCTATTAAATGCCAGGAAAGTCACCTGCAGAATCCAACAAGGTTTTCAAAATATCTCAGAAGGGTCGTCAGTGCTTGGATTGCTGAAAATAGAATTGGAGTAGAATACATTGTGCCAGCTGGAACTCCTGCCAGTGACAACAAAACAGAACAGCCCCCAATTACAGCCAAGCAGGGAATTAAAACCAAATCATCACCACCAACACCACAACCACCACCATCATTTCCATCATCATCATCAGCAACATCACCATCGGCATTGTCATCGTCCTCATCATCATCCTCATCACCATCAGCACCACCACCACCACCATCATCATTGTCATCATCATCATCTTCACCATCATCATCACTATCATCATCATCATCATCACCAATACCACCATCAGCATCATCGTCACCATCACCACAACCACCACTATCATTTCCATCACCATCATCATCATCATCATCACCAACACTATCATCAGCATCATCATCGTCGTCACCATCACCACCACCACCATCATCGTCACCATCCTCATCGTCATCATCATCGTCATCATCATCATCATCATCATCATCGTCATCATCATCATCATCGTCATCATCATCATCATCACTATCCTCATCATCATCATCACCATCCTCCTCATCATCATCGGCACCACTACCATTATCATCATCACCTTCAGCACCATCGTTGTCAACATCATCATCATTGCCAATCAAACATCATCATGCAAGGAAATGTCAATCTGAGGTGAAGAGTGATCATGATGGACCTTCAGCAGGCCAGTTAACATGCCCTAACTGTGGGGAACATTTCGCACGCCCTTTCACCCTCAAGAGGCACTTAGAGAGGAAACATCCCAGCCAATCTGATGATAATGAATTTAACATGACAGGGGCGTGCATCTGCCACCACTGCGGATTTCGCTGCAGGCGGATTTGTGACCTTAGAAAACACCTATCCCTACAACACAGTGTCATATTCAGCTACGAAACAGTTACTTTTGAAAACAAAGCAGGTGGGATAATCATTCATAATATTAAAATATGAAATATGATAATATTATTGTTTTTATTTTTAAGGAAGTAAGTGTTAATCTTCCCTATTGTCCGATTAAATCTAAAATGGCAAATCACATCACAACTTCACTTGAGACAAATAACTAATTCTAAGCTAATGTAGCCATATTGCCAGGCAAATCAATTGAGGTAAATAATGCTAACAAACCTCTGTCAGTTCAAGCAATCATCTATGCTAAAAAGGATCTTTTAATTTTAGAACGTCAACTTACCACGTTCATAAAAACTGAGATCTTTCTTCTCAGAATTTGAAGTATGGAAAGCCACTATTGAAGACTTGCAAAGCTGCAGTTATGTGAAGACCACAGGAGTTAAGGTCAGTGAGAAGGAAGGAGATCATGTCCAGTACTTCAGTTGCAACCGATGTGGCATGTACAGGCCTACTGGGAAAGGGATGCGTCTCACAAAGAGCCAAGGTATTTTTGTTATAAATATACACAGTAATGAGAGTAGAAAAGTACAACAGAAGAGGCTCAAAGCTAAAACTAGCTTCAGTTCAAAGTGATCTCAGCTTATTTTAAACCCAAATAGCAATAATTAAATGCAAGAACAAATTAAAATATCTCTATGGAACGATGAACAGGACCAGATAATCCCTTTCACAAGAAGAAATACTTCTTTTTTAAAAGGCATAAGCATACCCAGTGACCTGCAGACAACTAAATGGATACAAATATAATAGACATTTTTTGGACTCATTTTTTTTTTTCATTAAGAGGTTAAATAGAGTACAGTATTTCATTTATTGATTGGTTTAAATATATTAATTATTTCTTTCTACTTTTTTATGAAGGTACTTGCAAACTGAACATGAACTGTACAGCTGGATTGAAGGTGGTCACAACAACCGAAGGGCGAGTTAATGTGCAGGCATGTCACACTCATCATGGCCATGCAATTGAACTTCAACATATCTGGTTATCCAAACATGGACGCCAGCAGATTGCCAGTAAAATTCAGCAAGGTGTTCCAGCCGATAAGATTCTAGATGACATTCGCCAATCCATGCCTGAAAGTCTTCACAGGCATCATATCCTTGAGAAAAAGGATATCCACAACATACAACAAGCTTATGGTTTGAAGAACGTGCAGCGCCATGCAAATGATCAGCAAAGTGTCCTTGCATGGATAGAAGAATGGAGAAGTAATCCTGAAACAAACCCTGTCCTCTTTCACAAGATGCAAGGAGAACAAATTGATGATTACCCATTACAAGAAGAAGACTTCATGATTGTGGTGCAAAGCCCAATACAGAAAACCATGCTCCAGAAATTTGGCAGTAAAGGGGTCTGTATTGACTCCACCCATGGTACTACAGGCTACGACTTTTATCTTACAACTTTAATGGTTGTTGATGAGTTTGGATCCGGCTTCCCTGTAGCATGGTGCCTATCAAACCATGAAGACACCACATTCATGACAGTCTTCTTTAATGCCATCAAACAAAACAGTGGCCCAATTACAGCAAAGTGGCTCATGAGTGATCTTGCCAACCAATATTACAATGCTTGGGTGGGAGTCATGCAGCACCATCCAAGGAAGCTGCTATGCACATGGCATGTGGATAAGGCGTGGCGAGAGAATATAAGGGAGAAAGTCAAAGATGTCACAGCCCAAGCAGAGGTTTATAAGATGTTGCGCACAGTCTTGGAGGAGACGAGTGAGACCACCTTCAGTGACCTACTAGTCAAGGTTCTGAACCAGCTGCAATCCTGTGACCAAACAGCAGCTTTCCACCAATATTTTGTATCTGAATGGGTACCAAAGGTGCAGGAATGGGCTTTCTGCCATAGATTGGCCTTAGGCATAAATACAAACATGTATGTGGAAGCCTTCCATCGCACCTTCAAGCACAACTACCTAAAAGGAAAATTCAACAAAAGAGTTGACATTTGCCTTCTAAACCTCGTTAAATTCATAAGGGACAAAACATATGAACGAACAATCAAACTAACCAAGGGTAAGCTTACTGTGCGTATTCGTGAAATTCAGAACCGTCATGCCACTGCCAGGGTGATGAAGACCATTGTGTTGCCAGTTAAAGACGGACATGGGTGGGAAGTGGCATCTGAAGATGGAAACCATGTTTACCAAGTGCAGAAAATTAATGAACATTGTCCAGAAAGTCACTGCAGTTTAAAGTGTCATTCCTGCAAAGAAACATGCCTGCACACCTTTTCCTGCACTTGCATAGACAGTCTTATGCATGGAACCATATGCAAACACATACACAAGGTATCCATGAATTTAGCAGAAACTACTGGCAACATTAATTATGGACCTTCTGCTTTATACACATCAGAAAATCAAGGTCATGATTTGCATGAATCTGACTATGCAAGTGAAGTCAAAGAGTTGGTATCAGAGATTAAGTGCTGCAGTACAGCACAATGTGATGTTGCTGCTTTGCAAGTGAAGATAAAAGGAAAACTTTTACAACTGTTGAATGAAGTTGAACATTGCACTAATAAGGAGGCTCTCCTTGAACTGGACAAAGGACTATCTGCAAAGCATTTCCTTTTTGAATCTATGCAGAAATCCACCCCAGCAAATCTGATCGTCAAACAAAATGGTCCAGCCAACAAGAACATGGACAGACAGAGGCAGTTCTTCTCCACCAAGAGAAAGAGGAAAAGGCAGGACAATATTAGGTACTCAAAGCCAACACGGGAAGAGAAAGAAAACCTGTTCAGGAGCAGAGGTCAGTAAAGTTGTTTATAGCCAATAGTAAAGATTCGTATGTGTAAAATTTTTAAGAGGCCTTACATTTGGTTCAGTGTTTAGCAGAACGAAATTTAATCTCGTCTCCATGTTCTTACTGCTGAAGACCCTGCCCTGTTTGCAATAATTATAATAATGAGGTCTTGAGGTTAGACCAAAAAATGGTGGGAATAAGAAAACCATTTAACAGTTATCAGTTGTGTGCTATGTTTCTTATTTTAATATTAAATCAATATTATTTTTGCCCACTATCTACATCTGTACATGACTTGCATGTCTCATTTTGTCATTATGTTCCTCATTTTAAGTTTTTCCTGCTGATAATCATAATGGTGAATTGCCCACTTCTGTTGATGATTGGTTATGCCATGCCTGCAAAAAGGCGAGGGACGACATCAACATGATTGAATGTGATAGCTGCCTGAAGTGGTTTGGATGGTATGGATGAATTTCTGTATTCAAGTTTTAAATTTATTAAATTTCATTGGTTTTTGTTATGCTTATGGTTCTACTAACTATGAAATTTGTTATAATAAAATATATCTTGTTAATGTAGAGCATACAGGAAAATTAATAATGCATAACTTTAATAATATTCCAACTTTTAAATTTAACATAGAGATATTATGTTGTAGGGATTGTGCACAACTGACAGAGGAACCCGAAGAAGATGTACCTTGGTACTGCAACAGTTGCTGTAATAACAAGAATTAAGAGAAAATGCTGATGTGCTCTCATGACTGCATTGATAAAAATGTTTAAGGAGGGGGACATTGCGCTTTGCGGTATTGCTGTGTTGGACAATTTTTAATGCAACCCTTTTCGATCCTTTTCATGTCTTTCCTTTTTTTTATCAACCCTTGTCGTTTTGGAAAGACTCGGAAACATCGCTGAGTTTCTCTTGATCCTCTAAAATTGAAATTAACTTTCCTTAACATTGGAAAAACAAAATCTAAGCAGGTAATTCTGCAGAACAAATTAAATGAACAGAGTATACGTAGCGGTTTCAATATTCTGTTGCGTTTTGGCAAAAGGTATTACAGATTTGCGGTATTTAGTGAGGTTTTTTGCGATATGTAGTATTTGTAGTTTTTTTTTTTTTTTTTTGCAGCATTGCGGTGTTCAGAACTCCCCCAATGTCCCCCTCTCCAAGATCTTTAGGAGTTTTGGGGATGGAAAATCTTCCACTTTCAATTCTCAAGTTTTGATTCCTTATCCTAAATTTGGAGGCGTTACTTTATGTTCAGGATTCTATAACATATTTCAAGTGTAAATTGGCCTGCGTTCAAAAGAAAAGTAAGCACTGTATAGTGAAAACTGATCAAATTATTACTGAGACCTAGACAAATTTACTTTAGATTGTAGTTACAATAACAGATCTCAGCTGCAAAAATACGAACCTGAAAATTGTCCTTAAATCATTTTCTCAAAGATAATCAGCAGTACATATTATCTAGTATGTAACCAGTCCTTGCATTAAATTGTTTAGACAGTCCCTTTTTCTGAGCCTGTAATAATTTACAGCCACTCTCAGAAAAGAATAGCCAAAGCCTTATAAGACCAAACCCCAATATGGCCTCTTAAGATGGGTAAATATACAAAGGTCATGCATGGCTGATGTGGCCTTTGACATTATTAGTTGACAGTATTTACACACATATGTACTGTTTCATGCACTCAAAAACTGTTTAATTTGTTTTCTGTACATTTGAAATCTTCTATTTGTTTTAAATTTGTTTTTTTTTTGCAAAACTACTACCAGGGATAATCAACTTTTTGCCGGCTGTGAAATATAGCCTCAAGCTGTGAGCATGAATGTCTGACTTTCTTAGCATTATATTTCATTGCCGAAATGTCATCTAGGTAACAGATATATATGTTGGCTAGTTTATACATAAGCTTAATATAT